CCCTTAGACATGGAAGCAGTCCAGTGCAAAGCTGATCACTCCAGCTTTGTAGTCAGACTTTCTAGGATCAAAACCACCTAAAACTCTGACCTAAAGTACTTGCTTGACATTGGTTATGTATCCTCTCTGTGCCTCCGTTTCCTCCTCTGTAAACTGGCACTGTAGTGCCACTTGGAATTATTATGTAGATAAAATTAGAAAACATTTTTTAATCTCTGGAGAATAATAAATCCCTAAACGATATTACCTACTATGAACATTATTGCTATTAATTCTTTAACCTCCCAGAAATTCTCACAGAGATTATTTTCACAATGGTTTCCACAGTGGTGTAAATTGTTCAGACCCATCAAAAAACAACTCAGAAACCAAAATGATAATGTTATATGTCAACCACTACTCATGGATATAAAACTGATTTCTTTTGCCCCCTCCAGTTTAATTGTCAGTGTGCAGGTGCTCATTAACACCTCTAGAGCACATCGCAACTGCGTGGTGATCCCTTTCTCTCTTTTGTGGACTCAGACTCCTCTCTTGTTTTTCTTGCCCCATGTTCTTCCTTTCTCTCCAAGACATTAAGAAAAAAAGAAAGAAAGAAATATGGTTTCTGGTCCAGGCTTCAGCTTCTGAAGTCTTGATTTGTGGTAGGAATAGAAGCAGCCTGTTTTTAACCTCCAATGACACTTCATTTCAGAAAGCTGCTTGAAAGGATCTCAAGAGATCAATATCAGAAGTGGTCGCAGCTATTGTTATGTTATTGGTCAGGCAACAGGAATTACCTATTTGTAGCAAGAAAAAGAAACAATAACCAGCTGGTTAAAATCATACATCACAAGAGTAGATTCTGTGAAATGGAATTTACACAGGAATATTCTGTAGTTTATCAAATCTATATTTTGGCTTATGGATTTTTTAAGACACTATAATACAGAAAGGAAATGTGACAATACCATCTGCACAGCCACTATTTTGGGAAATTCAGTAACGCAATGTAGAAAAAAAATTGACATATTGGCACATATGCAAAAGTAAATCAATCTAGACTTAAATAAACAAAATAATGAGCCAAATTCAAGATTCAAGCCCTTTAAAATATTTTTTTCCAAAATAGGGAAAACCAAACACAAAATATACACTTCCAGTGGCATCAGAATCAGATGATTTAGAAAATATATGATACCACAAGCTGTGGTCCTGTCATTCTACTATTTTTCCCTGTCTACTCAGTCCCAGGCACAACAACACATTTAAAACACTGGCATGAGATCACAGCTCTCATTGACTTTAATGAGACTTCTAAGGTGACAGTAAAAATTCAGTAAGATCATACTGTAAATGAAACCACTTTATGAGGGTGAAATTAATAAAATCACAAAATCGACATATGTTCAAGATGCAGGTGGAGTTTGCTAATTGCGTTGCATTTGCATTCTAACTTGGATGGGCTCATTCTAAATTTCTTGGGGGAAAGTATATATATATAATAAATATAGTAGACAGTAAAGGTACATATGAGCTGTTGACAATAAGTGCTCTTATGACTGAGTTAAAACATAATCTGGCCTTGCCTGTTACAGATATTAGTTGGTCTCTTGCTGTTCCTTTTGTCTCACAAGCTAAGGGGTAAAATTCTCCATTTTGGAACATTTATGAGCTACTTTTTTTTAGGAGCTTGTAAAAGTTCAAATTGAACAGTAACTATCTAATTTTGTATCTTCATGTGTACTGATTATTACTGGAACTGGCAATGAAATTTTGCTGAGAGCAATGTTATGCATCATGTTCTAAGCTGGCTTGCTGGCACAGTATCACATGTAATATTGTAAAACAGTTAGTTCTAGTCAACCTCAACTGCAGCTACTGTGACAACATTTTGCAGATGATGAGACTTAATTGCACAGAAATGTCATTTTTCCAAAGATCCTAGAAACAAAGGACAAAACCAGGACTTAAAAAGAAATCTCATATTAACAAGGTCACTAGGAATCAGTCTTGGATCGAGACTGGATGAACTCTGAGAAATCCTGTATTTGCTTTGAAGAAATTATAGATATAACTTTAAATTCTTAAATGAAAAACAAACGACAAGGCAGACAATTCTCTTAGACTGATAATCTTCTAAATAAGCTATTTTATTTTAAAAACACAGGTCAAGTGTTCACTAAAATAATAAAAATCTAACAATAGATATGCAGAAATTACATAAGGTTTTAACAAAGTACATGGGAATTTTTACAGCATGTTGATTCAAAAAAGGAAATGACTATATAAGCCTGTAAGAGTGAAATTTATTTTTAGTGGCCCAGCTTCTAATACATAAGATGTAACCTATTATACAGTGGCATGCTAGTTATGCTTCATCAAACTGATTATATACCATTTCATGAGGATGTAATCCACTGAGACTTAAGTAGTCCAGTGTAATCAGTTATAATAAGATGGATCAGTATAGGTTGTAAAAATATCAAATCCTCCAAGAAATAGATCAAAGCATAAATGTCTATATGTTACAGATCTCTGGGTCCTGGCAGAATAGTCTACAATGACAGAGCTTTTATGCTTTGGTTGCAACCAATTTTTCTACAAAGAAGTCAGCACAATAAATACTTTCTTTAAGCACTATCCATGAAACAGTCATTATTTTTAATAAAAAAGCTATCAAATGTTTTCCTTTCTCAGAACTTGCTAAATCACAAGCCAATGATTTCTCTATTTTTTGGCCCAGTGTAAGTCTCTCAACTTTTCTGAAAACCAAATATCATCTACTTTCCCCACCAAAACAAAAATAAAATCCTTTCCACTTCAGCCATATGCAAACCACAAGAAAATTCCACCTCGAGAAACACCAGTGGATAAAGCAGACCATTTTAAAACAGTCTGTTTTAAACTAAAATTTGAAAACGGAAGGTAATGAAAACCCATAACCTCTTCCCTCATCTCATATTTGCCTGAAGCCAGCATCCCTCTCCTTTGCACCCAAATGTACTTGCAAACCCGCTTGCTCAGCCGGCCAGCTCTCGCTGGTCTTGCGTGCTCTCAAGCTCCAGCACAAGCACTCTCTCTCTCTCCTCCCTCCCTTCCTCCACCTCCTTTTCCTCCTCCTCTTCAGGTTCCTCTCCACTCCTTTTGCCTGTCCTTTCTCCCCCTCTTTCACTCCCCTCTACTCCTCTCATCCTTTCTCTTCTTGTTTCTTAACACAGCCTTTACTCTGAGGCCTCCACTCTCTCACTTGCATAATCTATACCAATTAAATGATGAAACTATATAATGTGAAGGGAATTCATGCTTCTATAGACTAGGAAAAGCTCACATTTATTGAATGTGTAATATGATTAAGGCTTAGCAAGGCATCTTGCATTCTTTGTATGAGTTACTTTAATCTTCAAAATAATCTACAAAGATGAATTCTATTATCTTCCTCATTTTTTAGATTAGGAAACCAAAGATAAGTAGTAAGCAACTTGCTAAAAGTCATAATCTACTTAAATAAAAATCAAATTTCAATCTTTGTGTCCACTATGAAAAAAGAGTTCAGAGAAATTTCACCAAAGTTTGAGAAAACGCTTTACATAGTTAGATTTTAAATGTAGACACTGGATTATACATAAAAATCTCTTTGGAGGATCTCAAGGAGGCCCTTCACAACGGCAGGCTAACATCTTTCAGAGAAACTCTACCTAGACTTAAAAGGTTGGCATAATTGCCATTCAGAAGAGACAGGCAAATAGTGATTGAAAATACGACCTGCAAATCTGAAGTCTCTCACACACATACATACAAACACACACACACATGACATAGAGATGTATAAGCATTAATTTATGATAAAGCTGATTCTTATAGGGGCAACTCCATAAAGTGTGCTCTTAGTAAGAAATTATGTATTTAATGGTGGTTAGTAACTCCCCAAAGGGCAGCCTATGATATACAATAGAAAAAGAACCCATTCAATTAGTCTTCCAATGATACAGGCTCAAGAATTTTGACTACAGGCTGTTCCACAAACTCAAAACTTACCCTCTGGGCATCCTTTGCCATTGCCAGAGGTTTGACAGCCCACTGAGCCATGCTTACATTGTTCACTAGCAACGACCTGTCATAATCAAGCATGGGAGAATAGAATGTGTTGTGAGTGGCTAAGAGTTTACTATACAGTTGGAAAGGAAATCCAAAAAGTCATAGAGGTTATCAGATGTAGACAACAGTCTCCGGAGTCTATTCAATAGAAACCACGGAGGAAAGATGGTTGCCCAGTTATTACGTAGTATATTGGAAAGAATGTAGACTTTGCAATTAAATACGTGTCAGTTGAGACATCAGCTCTGCCAGTAACCAGGAGCCTCTTAGCTACCCCCAATTCCTGCCAATCTTAGTTTTTAACTTATTTTAATTTTTTTAATAATAGTATTTTGTATGCTTTTTGTGAGGATTTGCTATCATATATGTAAATGGCCTAGTTGAGATATATAAAGTTTGGATAAGTAACAACTGCATTATTATTATATTTTTAAATTGACTAGCACCTGGTTATGTGCTGAATGAAATGTTTTCATACCAACACCGTATCATTGGAGCACCTGGGAGGCTCAGTCAGTTAAGTGTCTGACTTCAGCTCAGGTCATGATCTCACGATTCATGAGTTCAAGCCCAGCATCAGGCTCTCTGCTGTCCACTCGGAGCCTGCTTCAAATCCTCTGTCCCTCGCTCCCTCTGCTCCTCCCCTCCATGCTCATGTGTGCTCTCACTCTCTCTCTCTCTAAAATAAACATTTAAAAAATACAATATCATCTATTTATACTCAAATTACTGTTCCCCAATCTCACTCCAAGCCACCCCCAAAGTATCTATCCAGTTCGATCCTATGTCCGGTTCATTTACTGTGCATGTTATTGGTATGTGATTATACCACTTTGTCGAAACAACTTCTTGAAATGGAACTAGAAGCAAAATGCAAAATCTACAGGTTCATTATTCTTTGGAGTCAAATGATCTTATTTTACCTTTGTTTTTATATCCCACTTCTACATTCCATCCAACAATTCTTCGTAGATTATATCCATGAGGGACGATTCACTGGAGTAATTTATGAGTACAAGAAGTCATTTCACAATTAGACTTGCGCTTGGTAAATGTTGAAAGATATGACGGGTGTCTGAATGCATTAAAAAGAAATAAAATTCTATTCACATTATACGCGAAAACATTGCCATTTTTATTTTTCCTGTAGTATAAATTGGTGTTGGATTAATTCATTCACGTAATTATATTTGTGGCTCCTTTACCTTTATTCATGGCTATAACTTCCTTTATGGGAAAGAGCACTTTGCAAGACAGTATAAAACATCTTTTGAGCACTGCGGTAGAAGGTCAGAGATGATATGTCAGCCTGTGGACACTGGAAACCACCTGAATTTGGCCAGAATAAAAAGGCAGATGCCTGGGAAATTTTACATTATAAACACCAGGAAGATTTTTAGACAATAGATCCTTGATTGCCAAGCTGCTGAAGATGGTTATTTCATCTCTGGAACATAATTGGTCTGCTGGCATTACACCCATGTTACTTGAAGGGATGAAAATAAAATTATAAACTGCTGTGTAAAGTCTGAAATGGCCACCTTTAAGTTTAATCTTCCCCTTAATGTTGTAGAGTTCATAAAATATGCATTAATTCCAGTTTTTAATAGCTTTTATCAATCCATCTTTCTTCTTCAAATGGGAGACAATGCCTAATAAAAGAGATTTTTCACATTGCATTTCCAAATCATGATAGATCTTATAATTTTGCTGGCTTTTTTTTAGTTTCTTAAGCAACATTTATTAGATAAAGTGCACAAAGCAATACACAGCTTCTTCAGTGTGGAAACTATATGAAAAACTAGGATCATTTTGATAAGCCAGTTCATTCATTATAAGCAGATTAGACTTTCACTGACAAAATATTACTATGGTAATCTTTTTTGAAGGTTTAAACTTATGAAAATTTTCATTTTCAAAACTCATGCTCCTGATTTTCATTTGCTTTCACATCATATTTCTTTAATTCAAAGCAAACCAACTTAATTTTTAACTCTATTTTTAGAAATACAAACACCCAGAAATTTTTATGAAGATAATTCCTGCATTAACCAAACTTCCCATTTGCCACCATGTATCAAGATCCTGACTTTTCTAGCAGCAATTAAAGAATAACAAAAAATAAAAGTATAAACACAACACAACAGACCCAACTATAATCTCATAAAAAGTAGAAACAACCTAAATGTCCCCAGAATAGATGATCCATTAAATAAACTACGGTATACTTAGAAAAGAAACATAATTCAGTAATTAAAATCATAGCCAATAGAATAATTAATGACATGGGCTAATGTTTTCAGTATACTGCTAAGTGAAAAAATTAGGGTATGGTATGGTAACAGTATAATTTTAATTTTATTAAAAGCATAAATAAATTAATGATAAATTGGAAAGAAATAGAACAAAATAATTACATTTTTCTGTGAAGGAATTCCTGGTGACCTATATTTTCTTCTATATAACTTTCAGTATTTTTAAAAATTCTCCATTGAACTTAATGTACATGTATGAATCTGAAAAAAAAACATTAAAAATGTTTTAATGAAGAAAATGTCTTCAGTTATTTATGAACTGAAAACAGCATCACAGTGCAATCTCTAGTAATTGCTAATGATAATTAAGTCAATTCTAAACTAATAATTAATAGTTAGTTATAAGCTAAATATTAGAGTGAAAATTTTATTCTCTGTAACCAAAAGAAATAGTCTGGTAAGTATATATTGAGCCACTACTAAATACATATAGCTTTTGTATAACAGCGATGAAAGATGTAGAATTAGAAAAGTCAGTATGTAGGCCACATACAATACAGAAGCTGGATTTCAGCACAGTCAGGGAAAACTGATAGATAGATGGACTAAGGAAGGAAAAGTAATGGAGGAATTACCATGGTGGATTTGGGAGTACAAACTTGATGTTAGACTTCAATGAAGAACTGGTTTATCTATTAGGTACAGTTGGCACCATGCTGAAGTGCACAATATTTTCATTTATTTTATTTTTTAATGTTTATTTATTTATTTATTTATTTTTTTGAGGAAGAGACAGAGTGCGAGTGGGGGAGGGGCAGCAAGAGAGGGAGACACAGAATCCAAAACAGGCTCCAGGCTATGATCTGTCAACACAGATTCCCACACAGGGCTCAAACTCGGGAATGGTGAGATCACGACCTGAGCCGAAGTAAGACACCTAACCAATGAGCCACCCACGCACTCCTATTTTCATCTATTTTAAAATGCAGAGAAGAAACGAACTTCTACGTCAAAAAATCAACTTTATGCCAACACAATTATAAAATACCATTTTAAATATTTTTGTGTGTATGGAGGAAGGAGCCCACAAAAACAAAAATGCCTAAGTTCCATGAATATCATATTGTGGCCCTGGTTCAATGACTTGCTAAAGAATAGTATTTAAGAAAATAATTCAGCATCTCTGGGGCGCCTGAGTGGCTTAGTCAGTTAAGCGTCCGACTTTCGCTTAGGTCATGATCTCGTGGTTCATGGGTTCGAGCCCCACGTCGGGCTCTGTGCTGACTGCCAGCTCAGAGCCTGGAGCCTGTTTCAGTCTGTGACTCCCTCTCTCTCTGACCCTCCCCTGTTCACGCTGTCTCCCTCTCTCCTAGAAATAAATAAAACATTAAAAAAAAAAATAATTCAGCATTTCTAGAGAACAGAAATGAGAAATTGCCTAAGCCTAGGAAGACTCTACATGAATATGTGATAGCTAACTATGAATAAAATGAGGGGCAAGAGATGGAGAAAAGCTGTAAATGATGAAGTAGAATACCTTGACACAGACAAGAGATTTGACAAGTCTTAGAAACATTAGATACGGATCTGATGACAATACAGCTATGTGGATCCACAGCTGATCAACCTACACTGAACTTTTGGTAGTTGTGCTACAGGTGCTGTCCTTCAAGCTTCCCTGTTCCACCTGGAGGAAGATATGCTTTTCAGATTTTCATATGGGATGAAACTGGGACAAATTACTATGATGACTGGCAAAATTAAGCTTATTTTTCTTTCAAAAAGTAAAAGAAGAAAACTGAAATTAAACAATTATGAATGTAGCACTCAATAAATTAATTGTGAAAGTACACATTAGGGAAATGTCAACTCAAGAGTATCTGAAGGAAGGAAGGATGAGTGGCACAAAACATGGGTGCCACTACTACTAAAACTAGTCCAATCTCAAACTTAGACTTTGGTTGAAATATAATCTCCAGATAAGGGAAAATTACTGTGTTCAAATCACCTGTATTAAGATTGATATTGAGTGGGGGCGCCTGGGTGGCTTAGTCGGTTAAGCGTCCGACTTTCGCTTAGGTCATGATCTCGCGGTTCGTGGGTTCGAGCCCCGCGTCGGGCTCTGTGCTGACTGCCAGCTCAGAGCCTGGAGCCTGTTTCAGAGTCTGTGTCTCCCTCTCTCTCTGACCCTCCCCTGCTCACGCTCTCTCTCTCTCTAGAAATAAATTTAAAAAAAAAAAGATTGATATTGATTGATTGATTGATTGATTGATTTAGAGCACACACGAATAGGGGAGAGGCAGAGAAAGGGAGAGAGAGAATTCCAAGCAGGCTCCACACTGTCAGTGCAGAGCCCGATGTGGGACTTGAGCCCATAAACCATGAGATCATGACCTGAACTGAAACCAAGAGTCAGATGCTTAATGGACTGAGCCACCCAGGACTCCCCACTTGTATTATTTTTAGGGAGAGTCTGATACATTTTGATAAAGGTATAACAGGTTGACAAATGGTCTGAAAGCAGTATGTCACATGAAGAATTTGGGGATGGTATGGCATGAAGAAAGAAAATGTGTTTATCTATTTGGAGAGGAAGGGTAACATTACTATATAAAACTATTTATTTTCAATAATTTATGTAAACAATTTAGAGCAAAGTTTAAATTGCCAAGAAAATTATTTTACAATGATGATATGAGTGAAATGACTTGAGTGAACTCTAACAGTTAGAGTTGTCCAATAATAAAATAAAATTCCTGTAAAAGTAGTGAGTTTTTGGTACCAGAAGTATTCAAGCACACATTAGAAAACCATCTATCAATAATTCTGTAGCAGTGATTCTTATAATGGATCCATGCTTGAGCAGGATGATCTCTAACAGTATTTCAGAGTAAAACATTTTACTAAGGGAGACAAATGCCTAAGACCCAGTGAAGAAGAAAATGGCAAGACTGTGTGACTGACTGGATGTGGGAAGGCGAAGGAGAGACGTGAGAATCACAGCATGTATGCTGTATGTCACACGCCATAGGCTAAAATAAAAGAATTCCAGCTTGTGATCTTCCCACCACACATCGTGTCTGTCCTTATTCTTTGTAATCTCCCCCGCTCAGCCCTGTGCAAGGCTAAGTCCGTTCCAGTCACACCAGGGTATCAAGATGAGCTCTGTACTGAGTCCACTCTTCTGTCTTCACCTCTTCCCACCCCTTTCTTTCAGGGACTGTCAGAAGTGCCAAGAGCAAACCCCAAGCACCAACAACAGATATAGCTATTGAGTCTTCAGAGTCAGATTCTCTCAGTTCAAGGCAAGGAAGAGCAGAATATACCAAAAGAGAAACTGTGAGAAGTATTACCGTGAATTATGCTAAATATTATTAAGCAATTCCCTTTATGATTGTAAGAATAAATGTATATTGTCCAGAAAAAAATATGTTCTAATATAGAAACAAATGGAGAAAACTAGGGTTTTTATTGATATCTCATTTAGACAAATGTGTATTAAGTATAAATGATTATGGAAAGAAGTCAAAAAACAATAAAAAAAAATTGAAAAGCAGCTTGAGATTTTTCAACCATGAAGTGTAAGCCTGAATGATCAAGTTTTATTCATTCTTTTGCAGTTCATATTAGCATTTTATTATGCAAAGCTGTAAATTTGATTTTACAGTGAAAATAAAATTGGTTTCTTTAAACTTGTTTCCTTTTCTATAAAACAAGGGGTTTGAGCAACACAACCTCTATAGCCCATTTCAGTTCTAATATTCCACAATTAATAGATGATATTTACTATATTGCCTC